TGCTTGCGAGCGCTTGTCTTCCACATCCTGGGCGCTCCTCAGAGGCAAAAAACATTGAAAAGCAAGAAATAGCAAGAAGCGGAGCAACATAAAAGGGTTCCCTCTTTTCCCACGGAGCACTGGAGCACTGTCCTTTGAGCTTCGTCGAACTGCTCCTTCAGCACCGCAAGGTCTTTCTGAACCTGTGCGCAAATCGTAAACCACGCCAGGTACACTCCTGGTCAGCACTAACTCCACTCTACCATCCTGTGGTGCTGCACTGAGAAGACCACGCTCTGCAGTTTCTGCTGCTCTTCTTCCAGTTTGGCCTGCCGAAAGGCAGCCCGTTTGCAACTGCTCAGCGACTCAGACTAACATCGCTATTTTTCTGGTAATACTCAGCGGCCCATTGGCCACCCAACCTCTACTTTCGACCGCTTCAGCTCTCTTCATTCTCGGCATTCCTGCACAAAAGAACTGCGGCTCCACTCTTGTACATTAAGAAGAAAACGCATGACATGCTGGAATGTATGTATTACCTACTCGTGGCAAAAATAGTACTACATTTAGGACATCGTATCACGCGTTTTATCTCGTTGTATCTTGGTCTTATCGCGCATGCAGTCTGACCTCTGGGCTTCTTCGAAGCGCTCCTTCAACGCTTCGAACTGCGCCCTCACCTGCGTAGAATGATGGCAGCGACTTCGCATGGCGACTCAACAGCTACTGGCACGCGACTGCATTCAAGACATCACGGAAGACGCTGCAACTCCGGACCTTTGCAGCGTCCTCACGCGCAACTTTCAACTCCGTCGCCGTTGAAGCCTGAAGTGGCGAGGCAACGATCCAGGCGTTCCCAGGCGAAATCCGGCATGATCTGCTTGTCAATCTGACCGGCGAACGGAAAACCGCATAGCTTCTGTCGCAGGCTAAGTTCCAGGCAAGCTCTTCTTTCATTGCTTGGTGCGCATCCTCCTTGACGTCATTAGATGCCTGTTGCGAGGCATCCTGATGACTGGATCCATCTCTTGGCACGGCAAGAAAGCGCAAGAACAAATGAATCAAAGGCAGGCGCCCGAGTGGAAATACCGGACTCCAACCTTGGCGCAGCTAGCCCCATGAATCAGATCTGCTGTACATTGCTGTTCATGGTATGCTCATTTTATGCCATTTTCTGGGGACATCGCGTCCGTTTCATGGAATTCCACGTCTGGCCCGAGCCCGCATTCAGCGTGCTTCCTAAGTTTGCGGAGCAGCACCGATGCCACCTCCAAGAAAGGCATACGCCATATGCCGAGCGGCCCATGGTTGCGAGGTCTTGGAGATAGTCATCGTCTACTAGCCTGAACAGGTGGGCACATGATCGAAGCATGCAAGTATCATGCAAGTATTCGGGGAGGCCTCTCAGAGCAGCAAAATATCAGTATCATCCGATGAAAGCTGAAGATGCCAGCGACGTGTTGCCAGATAGTTGTGCATGACAGTCCAATCATTCTTCTTTGCCCCATTTCAGCCCTGGGGGTCGCTTGCACGGACTCTGGGCGCGGTCCCGGGAAAATAGGCAGCTTTCAAGAGTGATCACTGGTAGGAAGTTGGGAATCAGGCCCACGGGCCCATCACGGGTACCACAGGCCAATGTTGTTCCTTACTGATGGCTATAAAGATTGCATCCTCCTTAAAAGATCACCCAAGTCCGGACTCATCTGCCCGAAACAAAATGTTGTTGTCCATGGGGGGGGGGGGCGGGGAACAAGCAAGAAAAAGGTGCTCTTCAGAGTACGCTGTGTCTGCGGATATAATGTTCATGCCAAAAAACCAAGACTAGTCAAAGTTACATTCTTGTCGTTGGAGTTGAAAGGGGACACCACGCAAGGCAAGACGCCTACACGAATTTAAAACATAAATTCTCAGTGATCTAGGCTGCTGCCTTCAGTTGGTCAACATGCATGTCTTGGCGATGGGGGAACCTAGCGGATTGAGGTGATAAGCTCTTTGTACTACGTGTAACTGGCGATTCACGCCCTTGGCAAGGCAACATCATATTGCCGATGGGGGCAGACGGATTAATGAAGATGATACATGAAAACTGCGGATACCAGCCATGGTCTGTTCTGCCGACAACTAGCAATCCGGGGAATGTTTGAACTTTCAGCCCCCACCAGGTTCCATGGATTGGAACTTCTCTTCGGCGGCACAAGCAAGCAACTCCCTTACAAAGTCGTTTATGAACCGGTCACTCGACCCATCGTATATAAGCCCGTGTGCCGGTGAGTCATGTCCAACGTGCGGTCTGTATAGATTGTCTATATTATAGAGGCTCGCGCCCCCGGAACTCAAACGGACCTAGGATGACCTAGGCCGACGTTGGGCAGGGAAAGCGAAGAGACTCAGTGGCCCATAGCAGCAGTTAGCTACGCAGGATGCTTACGGCTTACACACACATGGGCCAGTGGAGGCAATATGCCACACGCGCCTGCCCACGCGCTTGTGCGGGTTTCTGCGTGCGTTCTGTGGTTTGGAATCTCGGCTGCGATGTCAGGGAAATAGCGCCGCTAAATTTAAATGTCCTTGAATGACATAAGCGCCAGCCTCCTCAGATCAGGCATGGGATGATCATGTTGTGTTTGTCACCACCGACCGTGCGCGCGTGTTTGGTTTTCGAATGCTGCTACATCTCAAGCCAAAAAACAGTTTTTGGACGGCGCCCCCATGATGAGGATGGAAGACGGCCGGCCTATCAGCAGCACGAAGCTTCAGGAAGTGGCCCTGAGCGGACTGCACTGTTGAATTCTGCTCACCAAAGAGAGAGAGAGAGAGAGAGAGAGAGAGAGAGACAGTATGAGAAATCATGCGATCTCAGAGAAACCATGAGAACAGAAGGCGTTGTGGACTTTCGATCTTGAGGATGTCTGGAGCTCGGACCGGCAGAAGAACTTCTGCTGGATGCTCCCACATGGTCTCGCAGGCAGACGCCAACAACATCAGCATACTTTTTGAAAGGAAGCGTTGCTCGCCGTGACCCACTGAACTTCGAAGATTCAAATTACGACGCGGCCTGACCCGTCTGCGAATTGCAGAAGTAACTTGGCACAGGAAGCTGCTTGCTTGTCATGATAGTATCTTAGGATGATGCTGCACTCTGCATTCTTAGTGCACCACTCCTTGCCGGAGGAACTGTCCTTCACACTGTACCAGAGGGCAAACTCTTCCTTTGCTTGTGCCTGCACAGAACAAGAAGAGGCACAGACAGCAATGCGAGAACAATACTTATACAGTTTAGTACAGTTCAAGACGCTGTATAGATGGTTTCCACGGGCTCCATGTATGCTCGGATTCTCTCAGGTTTCCGGCTTCCCTGTGCCGTGACTACTGTACTAAACTGTACAAGACGCAAGCGACTGTTTCAAGTGAGCGCCTCCCACGCTTCTCGCAGGTCGGCAATTGACCGCTCCCGCATCGGTCGCGAGAGAGTGATGCAAACCTCAGCAAATCTGGCATAGTGAATAAGCATGCCTAGGAGGATCCAGGGCAATCCGAACTACGCTACCAGTACACCCTGGATCTGAGTCAGCTAGGCCTAGATCTTGCAAGAATATGCCAGCCCAGACCAAGCACTCAAAGCCACCGAACAATGGTTGCACAAGCACCTTGATTGCAGAGGACCCTGGGCACCCAGCGCGGCAGACGCCGGCGAGTTCCCGAACAATCTCCTGGCAAAGTTGGACAGCCCAACTGTCTGTGGGCCACTTGCGGATGCCGATGGGCCCGATGGGCCCGTGTCATCCTAGGCTGCCTTTCGAAATCTTTCGACTCCGCACGCAAGTGACAATACGTCATTAGACCTGGAGCGCTGGCCCGGCTGGCCCCGCCCAGAGCTGCTGCGGATGACGTGGGCATGCTTGGGGTACTCATAGCGGCATCCTGCTTCCCTACAATTTTAAAGTTACCATCTCATGGGCAAGGTTTCACTGGCTGGCAGGAGCTGTTCTTGCCGAACCGCTTTCGGCAGGGGGACAAGGACTTGTTTACAATTTATCGCTGTGATTCGTAGCCCGTGATGCTTGTCATGTCTATATGTAGTTCGGCTTCAACCTTTTGATATTTTCCGCTCCGTTCCTGTATTTTGGACTTGTTGCCTCTATTCGTCTCGTTCTTGATTCTTCTCATTCCTTCACTGCCATCGAATGCGATGTGTGAGGGTCTGAAATGGTCATGCCACCATTCCCAACTCACTGCGTTCCGAGATCTCTTCAAAATCTGGCACAGCGGTCTCGGTTTCGCAGTATCACAGCAGCTTGATGTCCTCCAGTGGGTGCTGCCAGGAAGTCTCCCCGGTCCCTGAGTTGCCATAAAACACTCGCCCATCTCCATCGCGATGCATTGCCTTAACCACGAGCCGAGTCAGACCAAGCCCCTCTGAACTGCCATTGATTGATGTGGCAGGAAGCATGTCCGGTTGTGCTGGATTGTTCACGTCTGAGGAGGTGTCCCAAGGAGCAGGAAGAGGAGACACGTGAAGGCAGTCGGCAAGGAAGCGCACGATATGCTCCTGTTCACGGCTGGTGTTGTCTGCAAGCTGTAGAAGGATTCCATCCTAGGTCGAGGAGTTACACATACAGAATTCGCTCTCTAAACCTAAGCCCTATGTGTAGAACATCTGTTTTGGTTTGGGCACGGTTGTCTGTAAAATGCAAGCTGCTACCCTAAACTGCTCCGTGAGGAACTGCTGGCGCTTTTCACAGAAATGTCCGTATGCAGCCTCCCACGACAAAACTGCTGCCGTTGCAGCAATGTCCAAACTTTTGTGATGTGCGATGCGGCAAAAGCATCTCCCCCTGGGCAGCATGGTTTTGCAATATTTGCAAAAGTGTCATTCCAGGCCTTTCGCTTGCGAATGTTCTGGGCTCAAAGTTTCCTATGACACGTCTAAGCTTGTTGTTATCCCTGCCTGTTCGGGATACGTTCTCGAAGGTCATGGCTGAGCACTGGTCACTGGCACTGCCGAAGGATGCTCTGCACTTGCACTGTGCAAAAGGGGAGTGACCGTTAAAAGCAACTCCGCATGTCACGAACGGCCTCGCCAGGAATTTTTGTCACTCCCATCGAGTCAACATAGCTCCACACGTCCTGGCACCATCTAGACATCGGCATAACCGTGTCCTCCCTGAGCTGAGGTCCAGCCTCGTATGACCAACCATTTCCTGCAGGCTCAGTGGCCTAGAGTCGGGCGTAGACAGGAATCTCGAAACTTTGAACCCCCACAACTGCACCCCATAATCTGGTCGCAAGGATCGGGCCACTAGTGCTTGACTTGAGGATGATTGTGTCCTGCAAACGCACGCCGGGTCTGAGTCACCAAGCTGATAGCCCCAAAAAAAGAAAGCAGTTTGCTGCTCCTCTTTGGCTCTGAGTCGGCCGGCTGGGAACTTGAGCCTGGATCGGGTGCCTCGGTAGGAGCCTCCTCGCCTACCTCGCAATGGGGGCGCAACAGGTCCAAGAAGCTGCCCTGGCTAACATCTCACCATCTCGACATCTCACCCGCCTTTGATGTGTTGATGACAGATGCTCCATGTGCACCGCTGCCGGCAGCAATGTTTGTGCTGCTCTTCGACTTGGTAAACCTGAGCAGTCTCCGGCTCCATGTAGCCCGTGCTTGGATCCCCCCCAAAATACGCCCCCCCAAGGATGCCCGAGGGGCGCTTGGAAGACCTGCCAACCTGTTTTGTCAGCATTTAAGAAGCTAGTTCAAGGCGCTGCCGCTGCTGTTGCTGAAGCTTTGAGAATGACAGTTCCTTGCTTGGACTGCTGGGGGCTTGCAAGGTTTGTACTGGATGCTTCGTGCGCTCACTTCAGAGGCGCCGGCGGACTCTTCAGTCCACGGATCATCCAGTCACCAATCACCTTCATCTTTGGCTCTGCGGGTCTGCACATCTGCATGAAAACTGCGACCAAACAAGTGCAGATGCACGCAGCTGCTTATAGCTGCCTACTAGTACTTCGGCTCTCGGAGCCAGCGGCTGCTGCCTGTGCAGGGCTGACATGGGCTGACTGCACTTTGTACCGACAGCTCGTGTCAGCTCGTGTCAGCACAGGATACACCGGGATACACCTTTGCCCAAGCCTGGCCTGCTGGCTCACTGCTCTGACCATGGCAGCCTACAGCCAACCTGTCTCAGAGCCTCACCCACACAAAATCGGGGAGTCCAATGGGTTTCTAGAAAACAAGGAGTCGACCAGAGCCTTGCAAAGCCTTGCTTGCCAAAGTGTCACAAGAAATGATCGGACTTTTTGTTTGTACCACTGAGACCATGGACCTGGAAGCCCTTAAAGGGGCCAGGCACTTGCTGCTTTTGAGGCCATAACGACTGTGCTCTTGTGGCTTACTAGTGAACGTGAGCTGCGTTTTGCAGGCTCAGAAACATGTTCCTGATGGGAGACTTCAGAGCGCAAGGAAAGATGCCTGGAAGTGGATCCTGGAGGCAATCCTGGAGTGATAAGCATGTCAAGTGTCCTCAACTTGTATCAGTCCCAGGCATTGTCGTGCGCATCTGACCAGTGCTGTCCGCGGCCATGACTTTTCATGGTGAGCGGGACAGCCCAAACCAAATCAAGCGGACCGTGCCAAAGAGGCTTTGATGCAAAAATAGTTTGCACCTCCGGATACAGGGCTGTCCTTCACACTCCTCTTAGCCAATTGTCCACCTGAATGAATTGCTCCGATCGCCCAGAGCATCTCAGAGCACCTTGTTTGCCCGAACGCCGCCGAAGCTACGCTGCCTCCGCATAAGCAAGGATGAGATAGGTGGGGGTAAAATATGGTAGACATAGGTACTCATAGACTAGTATGAGAATGGTGCTGCATGTGCTCTTTTTCACAAACTGCGGAACCTGTGAAGCCCTCTGCTGACTGCCACAGCAGGTGGCAAGTTGCCACTTTTCACCACCTCGGGGCAGTCACCAGCAAGCGCCACGGAGCAATCTCACAGACTCTGACCTAATTAGGAGGCGGGCAAAAGCTGCAGCTGCAGCAGCAGCGGAAGCAGTGCCAGCAGCAAAAGCATATGCCTCAGAAAGATGAAGTGTGGCAAAAACCCAAAACAATGTGCTTCTCAGATCTTCTCAGAATCAGATGTCCTCTGGCAGTTTTGCCGAGCCAAGCACCGGCTTCGGAAGCTGCGGTTGCGATCGCGCAGCTGCTGACTCCTTGCTGATGGCTGGAGTTGATGCCGGCAATGCTGCTGGCATGGCCGCCGGCATGGCCGCCGGCATTGCCACCTGCTCGGGGCTTCTTTCCAAGACTCATCGGACATCCTGCCTCATGTTCTTGAACTTGTATGAAGGCCAGTCTGGCTACTATCAGTGACAGGAAATGCAACTCTTGCAAGGCAACGTGCAAACCGTCACATTTCCGTCATGATCCACTCCAGCGATTTATCCATCCCTCAACAGCGGACACTCGGGTCAGCAGACTACCTCGCCTGGTTGGCATTCGAGGGACCTCGATCACTCTCTGCATGACGCCTCAGCGTGGCCCTAGTCTGCATGTAACTTCCAATGATCAGAAACTCCACTCCTATCGGTCACCTTACAACATCCATAATACCGGGTGCCTTGCGGCCTTGCAACGTGCTTTGCGCTCTGAACTCCCGACGCGTTTTATTATCTGCATCCCCACGTCGAACTTCGTCGAACTGGGTCACCGACTGTGGGGCCGTGCCTGGCCGCGCAGGCTTGACCTTCGGAGTCGACAGGCCCCCACTTTGGCAACTTTAGCAGCGCGAGTCCCTTTGAGGATTCGCAGCCTCCTCTCGATCTTCGACAAAAGCCAAAGGTTCCGGCACCTCACAAAACAAGTAAGTGACAAGCACATCTATCCATCGCAATGCACTGGAAGCTCAAGATCTGTAGAAAGGCATGATTTGTTCTGCGCAGCTCCAGCTGGCAATTGCTCAGCTTCTGGCAGCGGTCGAAAAAATCTCCAGAACCTTCCGTGAAGGATTTGATTCTTTGAGTCCGTGCCGTGAGATGACTATTGTGGATTTTGGTGAGATGACCATGGCTCTTGGGGAGAGAGAAGCGCTCTTGAGGAGAACGAGTGTGTGTGAGTGTGAGTGTGAGAGTGCGAGTGCGAGTGCGTGTGGGTGTGGGTGGGTGTGGGTGTGTGCGTGTGCGTGCGCGTGTCCGCGTGTCCACGTGTGCCCTGGGGGGGGCTGCGAATGGAGGATGTGGCGTGGCGGTGGGGGGGGGAGCCTCTGTGTGCGGGGCCGGCCCGCGCGACGCGCAGCATTTCAAAAGGTAAAGAAGCACATACCGTGCCTGAATACCAATCAGCACCGAGTCCGATTCGGGCAGGACCTCTGCCAGAAGATCGTCGGCCTGGACGGCTCTTTGAAAGGAATTTGAAGCACCAGCCACAACAAGAAACGGCGGTCGCAGCGTCTATCGTAATGGTGGGCTTGAGATATCACAGATCATCGAATCATCGCAAGCTGCCGCAAGCACTTCAGGGAAGGGGCGCAACAGCCCGGTTTCAGGTGAGGCCGAGCAGGAGCTCCAGAGCATGCCCAAGAGAGGAAAGAGGAAGGTTTCTTTGGGGTAGCGGCTGAAGTTGGGCGACATTGTGTATTCTTTGGCGCTGGCACCTGTCGCCTGTAGCTGCCGATATGGAGCTCGGGTTCAATGCGAACGGATGCGAACGGCATGCAGTTAAGGCTAAGATTTGTCAAGTGGGATGGGACATGGGGAGGTAAGCGAACAGCCGCCAACAGCCTGGCAAAAGTTGAGGCACTGGATGCCGTATCTGTTCCACCTGGGCGCTGCTAAGGCTGCTAAGGTTGATGCCGCCTTTGTGCCAGTGAAGGCCATGCTCCCAAGACCCGGACCACTGGCGAGCGTCGTAGTGATCTTCCCGCGGCTCGAACTCCTTGCTGCCCACAGTTACCTGAGTCGATGACCGACCCTCCATCTCAGTAGCTCTGCATGCCATGAACAGACCAGCATGCTGTTTAATGCTGTTTACTCCACAGGTTCCGTAAGGCCAAGGCCCGCCACCGCATCCGAGATCCGTCGGGGACCCGCAGCCTTCCATGAGCGTCTGCTACTGAACCACCCGGGTGCCTCTCTCGGCGCATCTTTTCCTTGCAGTATCAATGATCCATGATGCTTCAGCCTGACTGAGCACCAACCGGGCCGGGAGTTGACCTCCCCAGCTGGAAAGAACTCCAGCTGGGTCTCTCCCAACCTGAATTGAGACTGTGGCGGAGAAATCTATAGACATGCGCCGGTGCTTTTGCGCACGCAGCGGCGCGGAAACTGTTTGGCTGCATTCAAACCCACTAACCTCTGGTGTTTAGTCGTAGGTCTTAAGGCCTTAAGGCCTGCGGCCGCATTTTGACTCACCTGAAATACTATAGAGAGAAAGAGAGAGAGAGAGAGAGAGCGCTCCCAGGAAGTATGAACTGAGAACAGCCCTGAAGATTCCTGCATGCAAGATGTAAAGATTAGCTTTGAAATGGGGGAAGAGCGGACCTGACCTACGGTGGCCTGATACGGGCCTACCTCTTTTTCTGATCCTTATTGCCTGGACGTTTTGATGTGGTTGACAAGCGGTCCTGAAGTGCTTCTTCCGATCTCATTCTACTTCTTAGTCGAGACAACGACCCCCTCCTCTCCCTACATTCCTGGTATCTGCTGGCCCGAAAGCACTGTAGCAAACTGGGGTCACCGCTCTGCTATGCTGAATTCAGGGCTCTGCACCATGCGTCCTGCAGTTTTTGAAGCACAAACCGCTTCAGCGTGTAGCGTGAAGCCTCTGCACAAACATGCTTCGCGCGCAAGCAGGTGCCTTTCGGCCACCGCAACTTTTCCGTGAAGTTCGAAACTCGGAACCTCGGCTTCATTCCTGTCTGGCTAATCTGCTACAACATCACTACGGCGCACATGCCTGACCCTACCCTGGCCGCAGAGAATGCTGAGCTGCCGGCGCATGCATGTTTGCAGGTTCCGTCAGAACCTGAGTCAGCCATTCTTGCCGTGACGGCAGAGCGTACGACGTACCGGTCACAAGTGCACCACAATCATGCCAACATCTACGCTTTCGCCAT